CGTGAGAGCTGCAATTTCAGCTCCGCCCAGGAGGGAAATGCAGCTCCGACCGAAGTGCGGGACGTCAGTGTCCATTCTCGCGCTCGACCACCGAGCTTTGAGATGTCTAACGCTACGCGCTGTTGCTCGGTCTGGAGCATGGCGGATGTGATGGCCAACTCGACCTCTCTCACCCAGAGTAGGAGATTCTCTCCATCCATCCCCTCAAAGACCTTAACGCTCATAAGAGCGGCTTAGGGCGGGGAAAATCATCCGTCAGCGACGGTGGCGTCGTAGACGCAAACGATGCAGACATCTTCTGCTGTAGATGCTCTAGCAGCACGTTTTCGTAATTTGAAAACGCCTCTAGACGCGCACCGATTGCCTCGGGATTTTGAGCCACAAGGTGTTGCACACCCTCAGGGCCAAGCAAGGACATCAGCTTGTTAAGCCAGTCCTGCATCCCCTGGGGCAAAGAGGAAAATTATTCCTTCCTCACAGAGGATCGGTCTAAATGACTCAGGTGTAGATCTTCAAAAGTGCTACCAAGTGCAGCTGGGCTGCCGTAGCTTAGAGCTTGAGGAATCATAATTTAGGTCACCGACCTCTCGTTTTTACCAGAACCAATACGAGTGTAGCGGATCGCAATCCGCTACCTCCAAATGGAGTTAGTACCTTAATTAAGACTAATAAACTCTTCGATTTACATTCTTTTTTTTATCTGCGACAAAGCCGCCTAATTTTAAATGTACAGATTTTCTTAAATATATATATCTAAATACATGCATAACTACTGGCTACCTAGCCACATACCGTATTCTTGTTTGGGTGCAGTCACACCATACCCATCTCGTGTGACACACACCCCTGTTACCAGAGTACGTGTAACCCCGTTACAATAGCAGATCCCATAGTTATCTCGGCCACTTTCACCTAGGAGAATCTCCCTATCCTTATCCTCGAAGGTCTTAACGCTCACCTTGAGCGGCCTGAGTCGGGAGGAGTCATCCGTCGTCGACGGTGGCGTCATGGACGCAGTCAGCGCCGACAGCTTCTGTTGCAGGGTGCTCTAACATAGCATATTTATAGCTCGAAAACACCTATAGGCGCGCGTTCATGGCCTCGGGTCGTTGAGCAACGAGGTTCTCCAAACCCTCAGGGCCAAGCAGGGACATCAGCTTATTGAGCCCGTCCTGCATGTCCCAGGGCAAATAGGAGTGTTGCTCCATCCTTACAGATAATCAGTCGTAACTACTCATGTATAGATTGACTACAAGTGCTACCAAGTGCAGAAGGGTTGTCGTAGCTCTTTGCTTAGGAATAGCTAGGCTAAGGTCACCGACCTTACGTTCTTTACAGATCCCAGTACGAGTATAGCGGATCGCAATCCGCTACCTCCAAGAATACATAAAACCTTAATCAAGGTAAAGACGCTCTTCCATTCAAAATTGAAACTGTGTTTGGTTGTTTTAGTTGCGCCTATATTTACAACCTTATGGTTTTCTAATTAAATAGTAATATGCATAACTACTGGCAATCCTGACTCCCTGCTACGTTGTAGCTACACAATTGTTTAATTACACCAAACTTGTGTAATCCTCACCTTTGTATGTTCACACCATCTTGTGTGAACCACCCCTTCATGCAATGTTGTGAGACATGTCACTCCGAAAGTATATGGTGGATCATTCCTACCAAAGGTTTGGCTTTGTATCATGTCGGTTGCTTATTCATTATCAAGTCGATTTTTAATTCTCATGCTGAAGTGATGTTGTGATAAATACACAGTTTATGTATTTTAATGTGTGATTATATACGACCCCCTTAATTCTTACTATTACCTCTGATAACGTATGGTAGTTCATCAACCTTTTTGTCGAGAAAGTTGCTGATCTCCACGCATTGATTGATAATATGCAACGCAGAGCTGTCATATCCACGTCGTCGCGCGGGTGTGGTATTCTCAGTCAGCTCTCAATTATTCATCGTCATCACTTGCGGCAGATTCGACCGAGTGGCGTTGCATCTCGCTTGAACATGACGTCCACCTCCGAGTCTAAAAAGCCTAACGCACAAACTCCGATTTTGGATCGCGTGGTGGACAAGCTTAACATTTCCATCAGAACCCACCCGGGCGAGACGATTGCTGTATTGCTCGCCTCCGACATCGGCAGTATTGGCGCTATGTACGGCATCATCTCTTTGACAGGTCTCGAATTCTCACCTGAGTTCGCCTTAGCTTTTGCTGCTAGTCGCCCGTTCCGCCGCTTTCGCCTCCCGCTGGACTTGGCAGTCGCTGCTGGTGTCAAAAGAGTCTTTCCGGCTCTTTCAAAAGTTCGGTTGTCGGAACTCGCAAGTGCTTTGCCAAAGTGCGCTCAACATAACGAGTCTGTGTATATGTACAAGCACTTACGAAAAGTTTGATGTTGTGTTTGACGTCAGCCGATCAAGGATTTCAAATGCAGGCGTTTTATCTACGACCATGGACAGGGTTAAAGAAGTTGTTGACAACTATGGTGCGGCGTACATGATGGGATCTCGTCTGGCTGGTGTGGCGGTAGTGTACTCCCTATACGCGCTGATCAAACAGGGGGTCGACGTGATGCCGATTCTCGTTTCGCTGGGTATGGAAGGTGCGGGAGGAGCGCTTGGAGACTATGCTGCAGCCGTAGTATTTGGCAGCACTATCTACCCACTTACACTTGGTGCCTCAGGCTACGTCGTGCCTGTTGTTGCCAAGCTTCGCAAGACAATCATGTCTTAAGACAGATGATAGTGTATGAATACCATACATCATTTCCCTTTTTTAAATCGCTCTTCAATATATAAACATCAACATGCCACCGTCGAGCAGTGAAGCTTGAATTTGTGTCATTTTGAAAAATTATTTCAGTCATCAAAACCGAATAGCACTGTTTCATTAAATAGCACTGTGTATTTGTTTTTCTTACGAAATTTAATCAAAGTTTAGACCGTCAAATGCTTCATAGTCTTGTTTTCTCTCTTTTCCTTGCTGCTCAATTTGTCTAACTCGATTCATGGCAGAAACCTGTCTCTCTAGTGAGGACTAGAGGAC